CCAATTTTTACCGAAACTTTATTACCTAAAAAGAAGCCTTTGAAGTTACTCGTTACTAAATTCAAATTCACACCGTAATTCGCATCGGTACAGACTTGCAGAAGCTTTTTAAGCCAGACTTTGAAAATTGATATTCTAACTTTGGAAACGCTTTCACTGACTGCATCTGATTCCAGATTTGCGGCAAAAACGTAAAATAAATCGAGCTCCTCCAGAAGAGATGTAGTTTGTGCCGCCGACTCACCTGAAACCACGCAACTGTCACTTTTGTTCACAGTAAGGTTGCAGAAAAAATAAAACACTGGTTAGCAGAGGATCCACAGCACTGTTCAAAAACGACAACACAACGTTTCGCACTGCCTTTTTTTGAACTCAGGAATAAAACGTCAGATTTAAGGCCCGTTCATCATGCGCCATCGAACCATGAGGCAGCTCTTTGCTGCCTGCTGCTACAGCAGCTCTCACTGCTGCTGCTGCTGCTGCTGCTAGTGATCCTGGCATTCTCCCGTTATCTCCATTCGCTTTTCCAGAGAATTATCACCCACGCCTGGTCGCTGCTATGATCTTCCCAGCCCAATTAAAGCACCCTTCTCCATACCAGCCATTATCTGCACAAGTTGATGTAAGTGGAAGTAACAGTAGAGAAATTTTCAAAAGCACACTTCGACGAGACCATGTGGACACAAAACAGTGATTTATATGAAAGAAAAATTTAAAAAAAAAAAAACTTATCACTTATTAATAATTAAAAATTCGCTGTTCAAAAAAAATAAAAGAATGAGATGCTATAAAGCTATGAGCAGATAACGAATGATTTTTCGAGCGTAGAAGACAATTCACTTTGCTGAAACGGTCTAAACGGATGCAACATACCTTGCAAAAGAGTGCGAAACATTCCGAGTAAAGTTTGCGCCAAATTATACTTTCTGTACTGAAGTGCGGCACGCAGCAAACTGCCTACTGTTGTCACGTTTTTACTGAGTATATTTAGCAACACATAAACGATTCCTTGCCATTCGTTGCGAACAATTAAATTTGGGATTGTTTCCGGCGGTTCAGCCTCCTCTGGAGCACGTCGTCTTGGAATCCAAACCCATGCATTACTCTCCGGCGGATTCTTCTGCTTTTTCTTTCGCTTCACCAAATGAACCTACAACGAACTCTAGAGTGTGCAGTTCAGAACGCTTAATTAATTTAAAATTTCACCCCAGTTCTGCAACAGTATTGAGAAATACTGCAGCGTACTCGTCCTGCCTTTACAGCTGCATTCGATATAAGCAATGCATGCCAAGCATGCTACTTAAAACGAGCCACATGCGGTACGTCTGCTGCTGCTGCCGCTGCCACTTCTGCTTCGAAAATGGAATTCCAGGCCCTTGAGTCAATGGTTACGTGGACACTGGCATAGTAAAATTCGTAAAACAATTTTCGATTTTTCAAAAAAACCGCCTGCAGCTTTTCCAATGGAGTCCGCAATATTCCTGCTGCTAAATTCGGATGGTTTTGGGAATTTCTGTACGAGTGTCTTTTTGCGCATTTTCTCCTACAGGTAGCGACAATTGCGCAGGAAAGTAGAGGGAATTACGTATGCCCACAAAATTCTTCTTCGAAAAAAGTAAGAAAAGTGGGAGAAGACTGCAGAGCCAATGACCATTAGGTGATGTGTAGCTCCACTCAAAACAATCAAAGTGAAGTTACCAGCTGAACTAATGAAACAACAGCTAATCAAAGTATTAAAACATGTTGCTCGTGTATACCATACAACAGTAATAGCATCCCTTGAAGCTGTCTGGTCAGAGCCATTATTTTGAATTCATTGAAAAGTTTCAAGGCAACAGAAATGTACGCGGAACGCACTTTGCTGTTAACGTTGCATTTTGACTGGACCAGGGTCAGCGCGCACGCCTCATGTTTCCGCAAAACAGCTAGTGCCAGAGGCGTATTACCATCGGAGTTCTCGGAATTTAGGCAAGCACCCGTCTGCAGCAGCGTCACTGCACAAATATTTGCACCGAACAATGCCGAATAATGCAGCGCTGTGTAACCCTCATTATCCGCAGTGTCAATCTGAAACTTAAGAGCAAAGGTTCAGCCAAGTCAGCCGAACAAAAAAAAAAAAAAAAACAGAATAACAGAGACAAAAAAACAAAATTAAAAAATTAGATGAGCAGCAATGCTTCGGTCGTTAAGCTGATACAGCGATGGAGCCTGCTAATACAAATATCTTGTCTCACTAACCTATAAAAGGTCTGTGGGAGTTTACTTACGGTTAGTGAACTGTGCGTGAAAGCCAACAGCAATATCAGCACAGATTGAGTACCACCATCTGGCTATGTAACTTCGAATATAGCAAAAATCGAAAGGTTATTGGATGTGCTGACGATGAGAAAGTGCGCTACGATGAAACGGTGGCTGATCAGTAACATATTAAAATCAAGCATTAATAATGTACGTTTTTAATACAGCTCGTCTGTGCTCACGGTGAAATTTTATGCGATTATTAGCACGATTATTAAGTGGTAGTAGGAGTCCACTGTTTCAAGTATTTCATCTCAAAATATTGGCTTTCTTCTCCATCGTAAGGCACTTCATCCGATGCTTGTAACGGCTATTCACGACTACCCAACCCATAAGCTCGCAGCAAATCATTCGGATCTTGCAGTAGCATCTCAAACTCGCAGAGTATCATGTGATTACTGCAGTGACAAGTTAAGCATCTTCGGGCCCCCCACAGTAACAAACTGAGTCTACAGGGTGTCACTCCGTCCGTGTAGAGGTATTAAACTTGCTTCATTTCGTCGAAACTGTTTGCTGAGTAAATTCAATCCCCCCACTGCTCGTTGCCTTATTTCGCTGAGCTAAAAGCCGCTACCTGCCTCGATTATTCAGCCCTGTCAATCTTCGAAAGCGAAGAAGTACTAGTGAGCACTACCAACAGAGGTGGCTTCCCTTGACAAAGCCCCTACTATTCGTCGGAATTTAAAGTGAAGTTTCGAACAAACACCAACACCGGTTTGCATTGCATCCAGTAGAATGGATAACACCGCAACAGGATCAATGGTCATTCTCGCAAACACATCCCGCTCCAGCGATATAAAACAGTAGTGAAGCGGCAGACAGCCATTTTTATCCCTAAAGCAAACAGCCATAAATTATGGCGACAAGTAAACAATGTAGGTGTTTTCTTGCCCGGTGAATGTGATCATCGGACTATCAGCGTGAAGTTTCGATTTTGCACAGGCACATGTGATAGACCAGATTTATGACGCACTTGCACTATGTTATCAGAGTTTGCACGGATTCGGGGCACCTGTCGTCTAGCGAAACAGCATCGCTTTTTGCTCGCTCACAACCTCGGTTTACTTTCTTCCGTGACTACAACGATGCCCTGCACGCTATTTTGCTTAATTTTACTTGAAGGTGTCGTACTCGTAAATTCTAACTGCTATTTTAATGGAATGTGCAAAATAGACCTGTAATAAAAACACAAGTGATATATGTGCAGCAAAGTCAAAATTGCTCAAGAAAGTAAAACTTTTTTGACATTCAATCTATTTGAAATTTAAGCAATGCGCTTGTTCAAAATGAGTGGAACCAATGCACTGCACATATATAAATTAGCCTGCCAAAAAGTTACCTCATGTATAATCCAGTTCCATTTTTTATAAACCATTCGAGAGGCTCGACAAAAACATCTACGTTGGTTTTGCTCAACGATGCAACAGCAATATGAATCGGATAACGGCCATCCTTGTCAGCCTTGAAACAAATCACATGCAACTGTTGTTAGCTGATGAACCAGCTCGTCAACAGCAGCCACTCATAAAACGGATCAAAAAATGCAGCGATGTTCAAATGGTGGGTGGAGACAAATGCACTGAGGCAAACTCCCTCCTGCGACGGTAAGGATGGCCTTTCTGAATGCAGTTTCAGGAAGGAATACAGAATTTTTATTACATCAACATATCCAACCACTCTCAGTTCCTTCACCTCCGAAAATCCCATCTCCGCCACTTTTTTATGCGTTTTGTGCTGTGTAACAGCGTTACAAAACGCATATTGTCACGGGGTTGCCTGTGTGTGTGTATGTGTGTGTGTATATGTGTGTGTGCCCCACAATTTGTCCCGCACCTTCAACTCGGGAACCACAAAAGCTAGGCGGCTGAAATTTTGGTATATTGTTCCCCGCCAAAGGGTGACACAGTAAATTTAAATTCAGCCTTCCCGTACCCGCGGGTAACATGTGCGGCCCCGCGAAAGTTTTTTATAGGTAAATTATTATCTCGGAACCACGGGGTCTAGGAAGCTGAAATTTTAGGGCAACCACCCCCTGCCCACGCTCAACCTTGCCTATTCGAATTCAGCGTTTCCTCGCTGTTGAGTATCACCCACGGCCTCGTGAGAATTTTGGCGGTTAAACTACTAACTCGGGAATCACAGAAAGATATTCGCCCTTCAAGGTCTCGAATTCAGCTTTCATGCGCTGGTGCGTGAAATTTTTAACTATTTTCCAATTTTTGAACTATTTTGCGTAGACAAAAGTACAAAGCAGTGAAAATCATTAGTAAGCAATCGTTCGATGGGCTGAATTGCACAAGACGCATGATCGCACCGGCTAGTCTGGTGCGCGTTGC